CCTCTGCCGAAGGCTCGCTCGATGGAGCCGAGCTGGAAGCCGCGGGCATCAAAGGCAAGTTTAAGATGCCCAAGTTTGACAAGCCCAAATTCGGAGTGTCGGTACCCAAGGCGGAAGGGCCCGAAGGCGAGGTCAGCCTGCCCGCCGCAGAGGTCGAGCTGCCCTCCGGCGCTGTGACGGTCTCAGGGGAAGGCCCCTCACTGGACCTCAAAGCCGGTGCTAAAACCGAAGGGGCTGGCTGGAAACTGGAGAAGCCCTCCCTCAAAATGCCCAAAGCTGACATCAAAGCTCCCAAGGTGGACATCAGCCTGCCCTCCGTCGACATCACCCTTCCAAAGGCCGGTGCCGACCTGCAGGCGCCCGAGGCGGCTCTCAGCCTCGAGGGGGATGTAAAAGCCCCGGAGAAGGAGGCCACCAAGGCAAAAGACGGCAAGTTCAAAATGCCCAAGTTCGGCATGCCTTCCTTCGGCTGGTCCAGCAGCAGAGAGGCCAAGGGCACCGTAGCTGCCGATGTGGATGTGAGCCTCAAGGAGCCTCCACGTGACTTGTCCTATCCTGGTGCTGAGATACAAGCACCTGTCATTGCTGTTACCTCTAGTTCATCCTCTGTGAAGGAGGATTCTCCTGGTAAATCTAAAGGTTCTTTATTCAGTATGCCTAGAGTTTCACTTTCTAAAAGTTCAAAGCATGAGCTTCAAAGTAAGTCTAGTAGTGAATGTTCCGAGTCAGAATCTATTTGTTATTCAGTAACAGAAGAGTCTCCTGCTGTTATTTCTGGCAGTGTCGGAAGTAAACTTGTTCCTGACTTTAAGGGAGACAGCTCTTCTAAAAGCAGTAAATTTAGAATTCCTAGTTTGGGTTTCTCCAAAGTTGATATTAGTTCTTCTAAATTTGATCAAGATTCCCCATTATCAAAAGGGGATATAACTCTTACCAAATATCAGATGAATGTAGCAGAATCTGAATCAAAAATTTCATCTTCTGCTGATGTAAACATTTCATTTACAGATTCTGAGATTATGAAAATAGAGGGTTCTTGTGAGCAAGGAAGTTTGAAGCCAGAAAAAGTAAAATCACCACCTGCTGAGCGGTGTGTTGGTGAGTCGGAATATACGGTTAAAATACCTAAGTTCCGAAAACCAAAGTTTGGATTTTCTTGGTCAAAGGGAAAACCACCAGCAACTGATGTTGGTTCCGAATCCGAATCTCAATTTTCCAAGGAACAGATGACATCTGAAATGTTTGATATTGAAAATCCAGCTCAGATTCCTGATTCTGAGTTTGACCTAAAAATGCCAAAGCCATCACCTGAATTTGTTACGGGTGCTTCAGAGTTGGATGTTAGTCTTCCATCCCCAGAGGTTACCATGCCAAAGCTAGAAATGGATATTCATGGTCCAGAGTGCAGGAAAGAGCAGGAGTTAATTTCTGGTGAGAAGGACACTGAGGATAAAGAAAGCAAATTTAAAATGTCAAAATTCAGACTACTGTCATTTAATTGGTCCCCAAAGAAAGAAGCTATTGCTCCTTCTGAAGCTGAAGGACACCTGGAAGAATGCACTATTTTATCTGAAGACACAGAATCTAAATCAGCACCAATTACCCCCGACAATCAAGACCTTCATGTGGAATTAAATACAGCAACAGAAAAAGATGGTGAAACGGGCAAAACCAAGAAGTCTCAATTTATCATGCCAAAGATCTCCCTTACTAAAGTGAAGGGTCAAAAAGTCCAGGGCTCTCTGCCCATACTAGAAACTGATGTTTGTGATCTCAAACAAGAAAAATGTGGAGATGCTTCAGTACAGAAATCTGACAAAGGGAGTAGTGAAGAAAGGGCAGAAATGGGTGTAAAGATGCCAAAAGTTAGAGTTTCAACTTCTGAATTTTCCAAACCTGAAGTTGAAGGACCCAAAATAGAAATGGACATTAGCATACCTGCAGGTGAGGTCATTCTTACTGCTTGTGAACAAGATGGCCTGAACCAGAAATCAGCTGCTGCTGATACTCCTTCCTCAGGTACTAAGATGACAACTGAAGCCTCACTTGAGGTGGAGAGTCCTGAGGCAAGTGTTGAAAGAATATCAAGTGAAATTGCCACGAGTGGTGTAGAAATAAAAGTTGAAGGTCCTGAAGGGAAAACAAAAACGTCAAAATTCCAAGTGCCAAAGTTTGGAATGACAAATTCTAAAGGGAAAGGATCAGAAAAGGAGGTCGGCCAAACCAAATCAGAAGCCAAGGTTCCCCAACTAAAAGCTACGATAGAAATAGCTGATATTGCTGTGGAAGCACCAAATTTGGAGGTGGAACGTACTGAAGGAAAAGAATCCTCCAGCTCTAAATTGAGAATAACCAAAGCTGACAAGAAGGCATCAGAAGCTGATACTCACTTCCCAACAGGTGAGATTTCTGTCTCAAAAACAGACAGTGATATGCAAGATTCAGATATGGCACTAAAAATTAAAGAGGAAACAAAGCACAGGAATGAAGACGGAGAAGAGAAAGGACATTTCAAAATGCCAAAATTCAAACTTCCATCCTTCAGTTGGTCACCAAAGAAGGAAGCAACTGTTAAGGCAGATTCTGAAGCAAATTTAGAAGACAGTCAAGTTGCTGTAACGTCAGGTGGAATAGACACAGAAGTGGAAGGAACTGTAGCTGATGATCAAGGACTCAGGCCTGCCCTTGATCTGGAAATACTTGCTGGAAAAGATCAACAAAAAAGTCCAATTAAAAAGCCTCAGTTTGTAATGCCTAAAATTTCACTTTCCAAGATCAAGATTCCCAAATCTCAGGGACATTCATTAAAAATTGAAGCTGGAAATACTGTAACTAAAACAGAAGGAGATGGAGTTGATTCAATACAGATACCTGATATAGAAAGAAGTTATTCCACACAGACAGAAGAAGGGGCACAAATAAGCATAAAAACAGCTGCAGTTAAGATCCCCACTTTGGAGCTTTCCAAAACAGAAGCCTTCCAAGCTGATTTGGGAGTCAGCTCATCCAAGACTGATACTGCTCTGACTGTCTCAGAGGAGAGTTTTCAACAGGTTGTCCTAAAATCGAGTTCTGATAAAGATTCTATTAAAAAAACAGGCACTGAGTTCCCTGAAGGAGAAGCTTCAACTGAACCGAGAAGCACCACAATAGCAACAGAAGGATCATTAGTTACGGATGGAAGAAAGATGAAATTGGAAGGTCACGATGTACAGATTAAAATGCCCAAATTCCAGAAGCCAAAGTTTGGAATCTCCCTGACAAAAGGGAAAGGCCCAGATCCAGAGATCAGCTCTCCAAAATTAGAAGCTGAGCTACCTCAGCTAAAAATGACAGCAGAAGTTGCTGACGTTGCTGGGAGAGTGCCAGCATCAGAATTTACATCTGATATGTCAGATCCTGGGCTAGAGGTTTCTGCTTCAAAGGCAAAAACACCCCAAGTTCTGATGGCTGTCATTGAAGCTCCAAAGGTAGATGTAAGCCCCCAGTCAGAGTCTAAAGCAGTGATAGGGGGAGATACTGACAGCCTTAAGGAGAAAGAAATCAAAACAGAAGAAGAAATGAAAGCTGAAGAAGCTCAGACTGAAGAACATCAGGGATGGTTTAAAATGCCAAAATTCAGAATACCTGCATTTGGCCGCACGTCTTTAAAGGAAAAGAAGGGTGATACAGATGTTGAAAGAAGTCTAGAAAAACCTCAGACAGGCATTCCTTCTGCCAAAGTACAAACTGAAGCTGAAGTTACTATTGGAAAAGAAGAAACTCCAAAATTAGGAGATTCTGCGGAGAGTTCTGTTATTAGCTTGCCAAAGGTAGAAGGAGATATTTCAGTATCTGCAGAAAGCAAAGATAGTAGAGTAAATATTCAAAAACATGAAACTTATGCAGACATAGTTAAGCGTGGTGCTGACGGACAAAAAATGCACAGTTCAGAATTCACAGTGTCTTCCGTGGAATTATCTAAAATGGAAATAAGTGCTTCAATAATTGACAAAGATAACAGTTCACAAAGTAAGCTCCCTATGGGTACCCTGGCTCTTCAAGACCAGAAAGTCAAATCACAGGACAGAGATACTCCAAAAGTAGAAAGTTCCACTGAAGTAAAGACTTCAAGTGCAGAATTTAAAACATTATCAGGTGAAGTTACTCTGGACAGAACACAGGAAGAAACAGATGCAAGTCTTGCAAAGGGAGAATTAGACCTTCAAAATCAAGGGGCAGTGATTAAAACAGTAAAGATAAGGACAAGTGAGATAAAAATTATAGGAAAAGACAGTGAATTAAAATGGTCTGCAGGTGAGTGGGCTACTGCAAAGGGATCAGAAGATGCTGTTTACGTTGCAGCTAAGATGGAAGATGTAAAGGTAGATGTTCCAGAAGTGAAAACGGATGTTGAAATTGAGAGGGTAGATCCTGAAATGGAATGTCAAGTGAAATGTGTTGAAAAGGACATGTCTGCAAATGTGGAAGCGCAAGTAGAAGACAGAGCAGAAACAAGTAAAATTAAAACATACAAGTTTAAGATTCCAAGGTTTGGAATATTACATTCAGAAGCGAAGGGTTTTGAAGATGATATCAGTTTGCCAAAGTCAGGAGCTGTTTCAGTGTCTAAAACTGAAATAGGCAGAGTGGAAACGCAGTTACAAAAATCAGAAGGATCCATTGGCCCAACAAGTCCAACTACAGATCACAAAGAATCATCTGCTAGAATTACAGTGGACAAATCACAAGGTGGTCCAGAAGTAAATATAAAAATTCCCAAACTAAAAATACCAAGATTCACTTTCAGAGTTCTCCCAAGTGAAGCTGATGTTTCATTGTCAAAAGTGGTAACAGATCCAAAAGGAACTAGTGCTGACATCGAAGTGGTGCACTTGCAAGCAAGCTCTACTATCCCCGAGGAAATACCAGAGACTCTGGAAGGTGATATTCAAAAAGCAAAAAGCAAAATTCTAACACTGATTGAACCTGACATTAAAACAGCACAGATGACTGCTACCATAGATTCCTGCCTTTCAAATGCAGGGCAAGACATTCATTGGTCATATGTAGAAGGCCAAGAAGTGAGAGAGAAAGTAGAACCTGAACATGTTTCTATTGAAAGGTGTGAAATTTACTCTACCCAGATACTGAAGGAATCAGAGATTCTCTCATCAGAGGTTAAAACTGCTACCTTGGGATTTTCATTGCTCAAGGCGAAGTTGCCTGAATCACATAGCAACTTAGAAGTGCTAGTCCAGCAAAGCCCTTCAACGGAAAATGCATCATCAGTGAACACATCTGACCATTCTGATGAAAGTTTTGTAGTAAGTGCGCAGAGGACTGTCATTGCTGAACTTAAACTACCTGACAAACCACACAGTGAGACTGAAGAATCTAGCGGAATGACAGGTTTACCAACATTAAAAACATTTGCTGCTGAAGAAAAGCCTTCCAGTAAACCTGAAGAGAGTCAACCTGATAAGGCACCAGAGAAAACAGCTGCAGCTCCTCTCTCTAAAGATGAGGATATAGCCAAAGCACAAGAAGATGAAGAAAAGGATGTAACTGATGAAAAAGAAAAGGCTGACAGCAAAAGGTCTCCTGGAAGGTTCAAATTTTGGCTTCCAAGTATTGGCTTTTCATCTTCTGGTGATGAAACAAGCTCAGATTCAAAAACAGAAGTAAAAAAATCAGAAGAAACAAGGCCAGAAGATATGAAACCTGCTGACACATCAGTTAGTGATTCTTCCAAGCAAACTGAAAAAACTGGATGGTTTAGATTTCCCAAACTAGGTTTCACATCTCCTTCCAAAAAAGCTAAGATTGTTGACAAAGAAGAGACAGGTGATAAAGAGAGAGGAATATCAGATGAAGATAGCCCTTCAGATAAACCTGATGTATTTTTTGATGCACAGGAAAGCTTATCACCTAAAGAAATAGCAGAGAGCGAAAAACAAGAAATCGATGGGACTTCATCTAATATTCCAGTTTCTCAAACTATCGTTACATCTTCAGCAAGGACTGAACTAATCTTGTTGGAGCAAGAAAAAGCTGGTCAACCTAATATCCCTGGAGATGCAACCAAATGAAGATTGCCTTGTGCCAACCACCCAGAGAAAAGAGAATAATCTACACAGGAGAAAAGGAAAGGAAAAAAAAACAATCCTAATTTGCCAGTAACCAAAAATTAAACAAAACCTACAGGTGATATTTACAAAAACAGTTCCTTGAAGAGAATTTACCACATCTAAACCTTCCTGTACTTGAATGTGCTATACTGTGTAGTAATAAAAATAGTGATCTTTCCAAATCTGCACCAAAGGCAAGAACAGGTACAGGAGAGTTCATAGTTCTAATAAGGTCTGAAAAGATACCTGAACCATGAAAGTAAACCTTTGAAAGACTCAATGACAGCAAAATGTCTTGTTAAATATGCTTCTCAAAAACACACCAGTTAGGATTAGATGATATATTATTTGCAGAGCAGAGTATAAACTAGTACTATGAGAATTATATTTACCTGTTTAGATTTTGGATCTCTCTGACTTATTTTTGCTTTCTTACTAAATCTTTCTTTATTTCAGCTAAAATAAACATATACTCCACAATCATTTTAAAAAGCAAAATGAAAACAAAATACTAGTGTAGACAGACAGAGGCTTTACCCCTTCCTCTCTTCTCATGTTTTTTTATTATCGTGGTGGGTCATATTTAGCCTTAAAAGATTAACAAATAAATAAATTCAAGACAAAAAAAAAAATTATTTCACATTTTTAAGGTATCCAAATAATGGTGAAAACTATTATAAAAAATGTGGATAAATAAATTTTTATGTGTATATTTACTGAATAGTTAAATGCACAGAATGATCTGCCATGCTTTGGTGGAATTGCTTCAGATATTTTCTGGGAAAGGAGATGTATATAGTTATTTACCTCTTTGTTTATATTAATGCTTCTCTCAAGTGCACAGCCAAAACCAGAGTGCATATATGACGGCCTTCATATGTATCATTAAAACATTACATTCTTAATTCACAATAAATTCACTACATGAAAAATAACACGAGTAGCCTGAATTACTGCCAGTGCCACTTGGCTCACTCTCAAAACTACAGCTGGAAATGCCAGCCTAAATTTGCATAAGATTTGATCATCACCCACCCTCTGCTGAAATGACTGCCTAATGGCAGCATGGTTTCTAAATATGATGGTGTTGGATACAAACTAATCTGAGACTTTTCACCCATTGCATTTCTGAGTTCTGAGTGTGCAGTCATGCTTCTTTATGGTGCTTTTCTCATCCTGTATTTTCTTCCTCTGTATTCTATTTACAACAGGGAAAAGAGACAAAGCAAATTGTTTAGAAATTTAGTTATAAAGGAAACGTACTTGGGTGTGTAACCATGTGGGACCTGAGGTGTTCTTCATCTTTGCAGAAAGGAGATGGTCAGTTAAAACTGAGCTCTGAGATAGCGATAACCACAGAGCAAGACTCGTGACTCTGTTTTTAAAAGATGAATGCACTAGATGAGGAAGGAAGAGGAGAGAAAAAAGCAGCAATAAAACCTTCCTCCAAATGGGCTCCTGTCAGCTTTAGGGAAAGCAGAAGTTAGGAAAAAAAGCAACCAGGTTAACAAGGCGTAACCCAAGGGTCTGACCACAGGAATAGCTAAAGACAGAACCCAAAAGAGTGCAAGGAACACAGAGACAAATCTTCAAAACACACATACTTTAGTCAACAGGCTCCTGTGGTTCTGGCTCCACCTATCCGGTCTGAGAATGTCGGGTTGGTTTTTGTTTGTTTGTTTTTGAACTGTGTTAGGTTTCCTTGGTTAATGCTATCATTTTTAACACCTGGAATAGTGGGCTGTTCAGCTAAACATCTGCATCCAGCCTCCAGCCAAACAGCCGTACAACTGCGCATGCAAAGGAAGGTGTAAACACCTTATAAAGAAAGATACTTTGCCTCCCCAGCGCTGCGATATCCCACATTGCTGAGACACGAATGCAAAGAGTGACAGAATATCTTGAGTTGGAAATGACCCATAAAGATCATTGAGTTTAACCCCTGGCTCCACTCAGGCCCACCCTAAAATCAGATCCTGTCTAAGAACATCGTCCAGACATTTTTTGAACTCCAGCAGCTTGGGGCCAGGCCCACTGCCCTGCAGAGCCTCTTTCATGCCCACCACCTTCTGGTGCAGAACCTTTTCCTATATAACAATACGTCTTGGTTGACTATTTCCTGGTGATCTTTGAAGTAGAACCTCTGATGTCAAAGAATCCTAGAATCATTGAGGTTGGTGAAGACCACTACAATCACCCAGTCCAAGCACCGCCCAATCCCCACCATGCCCACTGCCCACGTCCCTCAGTGCCACATCTGCTCTTTTCTTAAACACCTCCAGAGACGGTGACTCCACCGCCTCCCTGGGCAGCCTGTGCCAATGCCTCACCGTTCTTTCTAAGAAGAAATGTTTTCTAATATCCCACCTGAACTTCCCCTGGAGCAACTTAAAGCCATCACCTCTCATTCCAAATGCTAAAGTTAATACTGAATGAATTGAAACAGATATCTGGGAGTCAGTGCCCCTTACAGAAGAGCTATATTCCAGGGAATGTGGAAACACTATTAAAAAATTAGATATGCACTAATGTAGTATAATTGACACAGGAAAGGTTTTTTCAATACCTGGATGAAAACATCTCAGGTATGCTTTATCTGGAACAACTGCAAAGGGCAAATTTTGGGTGGGGGATTGAAAAAACATAATGCTAATGCTTTGGGCTAATGCATGAACTCAGGTGACTTAGTAGTCCTATCCCAACATGCGGAGCCTGCTAGGCATTTACAGGCATTTCACTGAGCCAAGCACTCTCAGAAATGAGATGACTGGGAAACTCTAGACCCAAGTAGATCAGTATTAAAAAGATACCTGAACTGCCTGCAGCCAGAGTTTAGTTGACCTCCAAAATAGAGAAATCCATCTGAAACTAGTAGATGGTAATTAAAAATACTAATTAATTACATTTGGAAAAGACCTTACCTTAAAGAAATCACAATCTAAATGAGACAAGCGATGGGAGGATAAGGATAAATACTGTTTTGCAAGTGGAAAAATGAAAATACTGAGAGATTCAATGCCCACTTGTAATTTTCACCATGTTCTACCTTTTTAATAGCGATCAAGCTAAAGAGCAGATACCAAGAAACCAAACTCAAGTTCCACTGAGACCCAGTTAATTGTCTTAATTGCAAAGTTCTCCTTCATCTGTGGAGAAAAAAAACAAGACAGGTGATGGCAGTCAAGAAAATAAAGGTCATTCTAGTAAGCATCCATTTTTCCTTTGTAAGTTGAACCTTATCCCAACATTCCATTCTCTTATCTTACCCAGAAACTGCTCCACTACACAACTTATCCAGCACTGTCAGGTTTGAGCTCTTAAGGAAAGAAGTTTTCCTGTTCATGCAAATTACTCTCTCAAAAGCAGTGAAAACATGGCTTCGAGTGCCATCTAGAGGAGTGCGCTCCTCTATCGAAAATAGGCTGAAACACGTAAAGTCTCAGAAAGATTTTCAAAATCACTGACTGTTCATGTATGCTCCTTGCAGTGGGTCAGATCTGAGCTGATGTTGTTCCTGCATGTTATTCCTACACTTTGTGGCCAGATGTATTTGTTGGTGCAGGATAATGAAGCTGTGAAGTACAACTGGTGAAGAGCAGTCACAGAATCATTTGAATTAAGGGCCACCTCGTCCAACCCCCCTGCAGTGAACAGGGACACCTACAGCTCCATCAGGTGCTCAGAGCCTCATCCAGCCTGATTAGATTCAGCATTTATAAATACATTCCTTGTGCCACGAGTACCTAAATGCTTTAAAAAAATCTGACCTTGCTGTTGTGATTACTTGCATTGCTCAAATCTTACAGTGACCAGGACTTTATTTGAAAAATGTTTAACACACGTAAGCAAACACTGTTAATGGAACATTATGGTTGAGTAAGCACAGTACAGCAATAGCGATGTACTTCTCCAGTGCATTCAGATCTGATCATACCCTCTATGTTCTCTTTAATATAAGACAGACTGTGCTACAACACCGTGTGCATTTCATTAACTCTGAGATGGGCTAATGGTACACAGCAAAGGAAGCATCACACACTGGGGGAGTAGGAAGGGAGACTCAATTACTAGAAGTTCCCATGTTGTCGGGCAGTGTGGACACCACCAGGAAGAAATTTCTCTGATAAAAGCCATAAAGCAGAAAGCTGCTCTTTTTGCACAGGGAACAACATCCAGATACGTATTTCTTCCTAAAAAAATGTATTCTCCTGTTCACTTCAGAGTCTGTCTCTCCAGTTGCAGTCTTTCTGACCTTGCACATCCTCCACATTCACTGAATATTTGGAATTCCAGTCTCGCTCAAAAATGCTTTTTAATTGTTCCTGGACAGGCTGTTGCCTTCTCTGCAGGTTGGTTGAGCTCTGCTTGATAATCAGTCCCACGCCGGCTGTGTTTGTGAAGTAATCTTCTGACCAATTGGAAGTCCCTATGTAATGCAAAAGGGGCTAATTAGAAAACATTCCAACAGTGATTTGTTTGATCTCTGTACTCGTTAAGTACACATTGCCTCACTTTGCTGAGGTGCTGTACAACTGCAAATCTCATGAGGGCCAGCAAGCAGCAAAAAAATCAGGTCAGCTCTTTCTTATTGCACATCTCAAGTTTCAGAAAGCGGGTGTTGACTGCTGCCCTAAGGCTTCTGATTCCTTACCCTGTGTTATCTGCTCATTATAAACGTAGGACCAGAGTGCAGTATTTGTACATGCGGAGGGAAAAAGCTGGTGTTTGATATGGGGCTCTGCATTTAAAAACAAAAAATCCTCAATCTACCTAATTTTTTAATCTGTGGGGCTGCATGGGACCAATAAAGTAGCCTCAAGCACTTCGTATTCCATCAGAAACAAAGGCCTAGCAGAAAATGAGCTTCAGAACAGATCTTTATATGTTAAAGGAAAACAAGAGAGAATTTGGATCCCTGATCAATACACCCTCAGCAGCTGTTCTGAGCTTAGCATGCAGTGCCTGCTTTTAGACCAGGCAAAGCCAAGATCCACCTGTAAGCATTGTGTGGGGTTCTCTCCAAAACCGCCACCATCCAGAAAAAAAAATAATCAAACATTGTGTAAAAAATACACATTTTAGCACTTAGCATTTCTTCTGGTGTTCGCCTTTGCCAGAAAAATCTGTCAATTGCAGAGGGTGCTTAGGCATGAAAACAACTTATCTGCACATCTATCTTCAAGAAACAACTCAATAAGAAGCAAGGTCATTAAAGGTGATTGGAGCTGCAAGCCCTCAGCCTGTCAGAAGGTCAGGCTGTCTGCTGGCCGCACTGCTTGGAGCATGGACTGACTGAAATGACAGAGCCCTTCTGCATTCCATTTTCGAGGCATTTGGATGAAAGAGCACGAAAATAACACCATCCTGATTTTCAGGAATAGAGCAACAGCTGACACTAGAGTTTTCTCATTTCCATTCCTAGAATTCTGTTCAGCAAATAGTGCATGGAATTAAACCCTCCCAGCAATTCCCTTTTATTAAAGCACAGTGATGTTCTATACCAGAGCATTAGCTATCACTGCATCATTCTGAGCACACCGTTTGTGAAGTTCCCACTGTGCTTGCTACAAGCTGCACGCTCAGGCTTAGCATACTCTGTTCTTAATGGTTCACAGTCATATGAGATAATCTCCTCCTGAACTTAACATACATTATATTGTCTCGCTTTTCCACTTCTACTCCTATACCCAAAGTGGACATTCTGACATAATATTTTGTTATGTTTATCAACTTTCTATGGCAAAACAACCTCCTTTTTAACATTGAAGCCCACCCCATCCCAATCTCAGCCCTGCAGATCTGAAGATGCTTTAAGCTGTCGTAATCACAGGATACGCACCAATATAGGCTGCTTTATCTGTGACCATAAATTTGTTGTGATTCACTCTCCCGTGAGGAATATTTGTGTGATTCAAAACCGGAACAATGAAGAGTTTCTGGATGGAGAGAAATCAAAACATACATAGAAATATCATACGAGAAATAGGGCAGTGCAGATTCCCTCTGCTTTCATAGAATAGAATGCTAGAGAAATAAGAGAGTAATCCTCGCACTGGTATTAAATGTCCCATAAAAGAGATTTTACTCTTATCCAAGAAAACTAACAAATGCTATCTCCACTATACATAAAATTTGATAAGCAATTGAGATCAGATAAGGATAACGTTTGCTTCACAATGTTCCATTAGTGACACAGCTATTATCATTACAGGGCAGACAATTAAATGCAGTTTTAGGCAGCTGTTTAATAGATCTGCATTTACCACTGATTGCCACTCTTATTTTGTGCTAAAATGGCCTGATCACATGCACAGGGAGTACTGCAGATACCAATAATGCCAAACTTTTTGTGTGAAATCTTACTAAAATCTAGATTTCGGGGTTTTGGTTTGTTTTCCTTTCCCTTGGTAAAAACTTCATTTCTGCTATTTCTTTCTGTCCTGGTAAGTGTGCTGTGCTGGAAGCTTCCATATCATAGAATCATTATGGTTGGAAAAGACCACTAAGATCATCTTGTCCAACCCCGGTCCTCCCTCACCTGCCCACTGACCACGTCCCTTGGTGCCACATTTACCCTTTTCCTGAACACCTCCAGGGACAGTGACTCCCCCACCTCCAATGCCAATGCCTCACCAATCTTTTGGAAAAAAAACGTTTCCTAATATCCAACCTGAACCCTCTCCTCACTCCATGCTTTCCATTCCAGTGCTTGTGTCTACAGCCTGTGTGTAATATTTATTGTAGAAAAAAAATGCCTCGATATATAGAGGCAGGTAGAAGAGCTCTCAACTACCAAAAAACTGATACTAGAGCCACCTGAGATAGTCTATACAGACAAGCATTGCAAGAAGACCACCAAGTCCTCATTCAGATGGTCACTGTCATTTATCATACCACGCTGACGCTCATGTGGGTGTGAGGGTTGTTGAGAGCACGCAGGGACCTCAGGTAGTGGAGCATGGATGGGTCGGTGTGGGTCCAGCAGCTGACCAGAAGCCGAATTTGTACTCTGTAGTTGAAAGCCACACGTCTCAGAGCATTGTCAATGGCTGGCCAGTATCTAGAGAAAAGCAGGTGGGTAGAGAGAAGAGGATTTCTGTAAAGATCTCTTCTTGCTCCCTTCAGCTTTAATTCAGCTTCCTCTTTTTTGGCATATTGGTTCCTAGTTGATTAACACTCAGGCATTAGGACAGCAGTTTTATTCCCTGCCTCAGCTGCTGGAAAGACCAAAGCTGAACTAATCAGCCTCAATTCACCCCACTGCAGCTGGTTGCTGTGGAGATAGCTGGAGGCTCAGCACTGCTTCCCCTCAGACTTTCAAACTCCTATTCACATCAGATCAGGTCCTAGATGTCAAAAATGGTGGATTTAAGGCTTCAGATGAAGAATGAGTAGTATTAGCGCGTCCATTCCTACAGGGAAAAAAAGAGTTTCTGTGAACCTAATCTTAGTTAAAAGCAGGAAATGAGAAACCCACAGGTTCAACAACACAGAAACTGAAAATCCTCTCAGCTGTTGGATTTACAAAAATATCCTCCAGGAGAAAACTGGCCTTAGAGGTTTTATTTCCAGGACAGCAGAATTATCTCTATCTGTTAACCTTCACACTGCATGTTAACACTCTGCTTCACAGCTGAATGGCACAGACCACAGTCATTCCAGAGGACGTGATGCATGTTAAAATTATGGCAAACTGGTAAGCTAGGGCTCGCTCTATTCTTGACAAGCCACCTCGTACGTAATTAGTTTGCTTGAGCTACTTTCTCAGTCAGAATATTTAGATGATTGGAAAGCCTGCAGATGTTGTAAGCAGGTAATACTCAAAGCCCTTTGTTGCACATATGTGTTCTAATTCAAGCATATCAAAGAGGATTTGGGATCTTTGTGGCTGGCCATGACACAACAGCTTTCTGTTACTTAGATCAGAGCTGATGTACGAAGTATGCACAATTCTGCTGGGACCTTGGGCAGCTCAGTGGTCCACCAAACAATTTAGACCACTGCACCTCCTCTGTGAGAGCTTTGCCTCCACACCTCCAGCATTCCCAGCAAACTTAGGTGTTCAAGACGAGGTAGTAGAAAAGGAAAATAAAAGCTCAGAACTTTCTGGGGGGACTACCTCAACTACTGTTGCAGAGGTGAGCAAGAACAGTTAAGAACTGGGCTCTACAGCATGATTCAGGTGTATTGAGCAGGCAGCAGAGCAAGAAGTCAAGAGTCCTCAGAAGTGAAGAACAGAAAGAAAGAGACAGGAGCAGAAGAAGGGGGCAAAGCAATATTTTCTCTGAGAAGTCTGATACATATATATTTCTGCTGTTCCCATTCCTTCCTCTATTCAAAGAGCTGGTGTACTGTATGTTTAATAGAGCTACACCCAACTGTCCCTCTGGCATTTTGAAGTTTTCCTGCTGTTTGAAGGGCAGAGGAGGCTGCTTCAAATTGCTAGAAAAGCACAGGGGTAATATGGTAAAATATTCTTCCTGTACATCACAAGTTGCACAGTCTACAAAGCAGTCACGAATGTGGAGCAAAGCCTCAGCTCTTTCTACTCAAAAAAAGTTGGATTATTTTCATTGCAAGTTGGTGCTGGGGAGCCAATCATACATTTTCTCTTTAAATAGCCCAAGTTTAGCAGCCAACCAGGTCAGGATTAAAATCATACCTTTCTGGGTGAACAAAACGGCTGGTAGGGAAATAATCCATAACAGAAATGTAGACAAATTTATGTGCTGCACTGATAACACTGATAATAGCAAAGAGGTCATGGGTGCGACCTTCTGGACAAAATGCAGGAGGAGAAGCCTGTCAGAAGAAAACATGCAGGTCAGTGACTTCATTCTTTTGTTAAACTGTGATGGATTCACATTTGAGTCTGTTCCGTTTTCATTGCAATACCATAAAGCATTTAAGGCAGAGTATTCCTCGTGCTTTCCATGCTCCAGTGGGTCAGATACTCACTGATACATTAAGCCCACAGGAGACCTGCACCCTATCCTTAATTATTATCCATCTAGAGCAGAAGCAGCTAAGGAGCACTAAAAACACTTTTCTGGTCAAACCTTGAACATAGTTTACAGTCTGTCTTGTTATTTTAAAGCATACTTACAGAAAAATAGACTTTTGTCAAGGTTCCATTAAATTCTACTTCCAGAGGCCGAGAGTTGTTAATGTGGGTAGAATAGTTTTGAGGCCAAGGAGATGGGATGGTAGCACCATCATGCCCAAGATCCCAGTAAGTTTTAAATGTCTTCCAGAGGTCTTTGGCTAAGCAGCTGCAGTTGTATATCACAGCACCAAACTCTTTCACCTGCAAAGACAGCACACTGTGTCACAGCCCCAGAAAGAGCCTCCTCCTCCCTCAGTGGGTTCTTTGCTGTTTGTCCCTCTCAGTCAGCATTTGACATTGTTAGGATTTTCTGTTGTGTTCTTGGACATTAATTTTCCCCGCCAAGCGTTTGAATATGCAACAGCAGAGCTTACCTGAGATAAAGACCTCCAGTCCATATTTGCACTACCAATATACGTGTGTTTCATGTCTATGATCCAGAACTTGCTGTGCAATACTCCTCCTGTCAAACGTCCAAAGTCAATTTTTTTTATATGAGCTCCTAAAGATGGGGAAGAAAGAAGCAAGCTTAGATAGAGTTGGCATACAGCACGGTCTCTCTGACAGCCAGAATGTGCAGCCGTAGAATCACGCAATCAAGGTTAGAAAGACCAATAAGATCATCTAGCCCAACCATCAGCCCATACCTGTTATCACTCTAGACCACGTCAGTGCCACATCTGCCCTTTTCTTGAACACCTCCAGGGTGTTCAAGCGACTGCACCACCCCCTGGCAGCCTGTGTCAGGCGCATCACCACTCTCCGAGAAGAAATTTTCCCTGATCTCCAACCTGAACCTCCCCTACTGCAACTTAAGACCACTACCTCTTATCCTATTGGGATTACCTGAGAGAAGAGGCTGACCCTCACCTCAACACAATTTTTCAAGCCACTGTAGAGAATGATAAGGTCTCCCCTGAACCTCCTCTTCTCCAGACTGAACCACCCCATCACCCCTCAGCCACACCCCATAAGATTTGTGCTCCAGACCCTTCACGGCTCTGCTGCTCTTCTCTAGGCAACAAGTCTGGATCTCTAATGTTTGCAGCCATTTGCAACCAAAACTCACAAGCATCGATTGCTGGGCATAAAGTAACTTCAAAAAACATACATAGAAAACATGAAAAAAAAAAAACAAAAAAAAACAAAAAAAAACTTTGAGGGCACAACAGCATGGACAGAAATTGAGAAGCAGTGAATACGCAGCACACATTCCATGAACAGCATGGCTTCAAGTTCAGAGCCATGGAAGCACGTTGCTGGCATAGGCCTCAGCAGCCAGTTTATCTTAGGTGCATTTTAGCAATACTGAAGTTCAGAGGACACCGCTGAGTGAGATAATTACCTTTTCTCTCTAAAAGCTCAAGGTCAGTTGAATTCATAGCCAAAGTTGGCATACTTGCTGCAATGTACAGAGAGACATTCTCTGCAAGTAATTCCTCAAATCTCTTCAGAATTTCTTCACCCTGCACAATGCGTTGTGTGTTATTTGTTGCATTTTATTATATAGGTAACAGAGACAGTGCTGGACTGGGCTGTCCCTTGAAAGGAGGCAGGGCTCAGTCCCTCATCTGCCACTTCTCAAGTGCAGGATGTGAGTCAACCTACACCACCTGGCCAGCTGGGAAGAAGGGGCCAGGGTCCTGAGGATGATAAGGAAACACCTCAGGAGGAAGGCAGCAGCTCTGCCTACAGCAGCAAACAGGACTGTGGTATCTGCTCTCTGCAGAGGAGCCAGAGTGTCTAAGAGAACAACTGTACAATAGGAGCCCATTTTAAGTGACTTAAGGCAGGCCATACAGTCAGTCTGCCATAGACACGAGATGTACAACCTCAATCACTGATTTCAGCCTACCTGCTTTGAAGATGAGTCATTAACGCTGATGTCTTTCCCAGTAAGGGACCAGTAGTAAGAAGCCACATGGATTTCTTCCTGGGCTATATCAAGGAGGTTCATCCAGGCACGGTACAAGGGTTTGGCTGCAGTGCTATTTATCTCAAAAGCTAAGTCATAAGGAACGCTTTCCACAAGTTCAAAGCTGCAACAGCAATTGTATAGTTTGAGGTTAGCAGCTGTGACCCAAGCAGGAAACCATGCACCTGCCATGATGTATAGTACTTGCTGCTCTCCCTGTTGCCTCTCGTTCTGCTGCAAAGGCAGGATGGTTAGGGGTATGTTGAACCTTCAAGTACATGACCATAGTAGAGCTGTGTTCCTATTCCTACCACCCCTCCAGCAGGAGAATACTAATAGTGACCCTGCATCCAAACAATGCTGTTGTAGCTATTTCTCCCCCTGCTGATTACTTCTCCACAAGCCATTAGGCCTAGCTTACCTGCAGGAATCGTTGGATCTATTTGTGTTCTCCTCAGTTACTGTGGTTCTCCGGAGATCTTCATAGAGTTCTTCATCCTTTATCTCTTGGTAAACACTGACAACTGTTTCTTCTCCCTTACGATCAACTGTGCTGTCTGCTCTCATGAAGTAAACAGCCATCAGGGCAACAAAACCAAGCATTGAAATTACCCCAGAGATTTGAAACTGGAACAGAATCCAAACAGGATAAGAATTAAGCACCCACCTTAGTCACCATACAGCAGCTAATGGATAACTAAGTACCTGTCACAGGTGAGTAAATTAAAACCATTGAACATCAGTGCTTTCAGCTGCTGGCAGACAGCATTCCTAGATAGGGGTTGGTTTGTGTAAGGACCATGAGTTTAGTTATCTTTTAATTTTTCGTGTGCCAGCATGTCAAAAATGGGCTTTTCCTCTCAGACTAGTTTGACATTGATTATTTTTAGTTTAGTGAGGGACAAATGGGTGTTCAACAGTATCTCCATCCAAAAAAGCAAAGCAAGAAAATCCACAGCACAAAACTAACTGTGAGATCAAGTACAGTAGGACCACAAAGAGGAAATTCATAAAGTCATGGGGGAAAAAATGGAGCTGGGAGAATTCCCCACCCCATGGAAGGCAGTGTGCAATTCAGAGCTGAGCGTTTGGACCCTTCCAGGCAGGAGAAGTGAGTCTGGGAAGGAGAAGTCAAGAGGCTCTAGCTGTAAATGTGAACTCCTGAAATGGCACATATGAAAATTGAGTGGAAGCCAATTTGCTCTGAAAGCATCTGTTTCTGTTTCTATGTGCATAGAGTCTCTTACTTTTCATTTTCTATGCTTCTTTCAAGATCTACAGTGCTGCCATCAATTTCAGGCAGTGATTTGACCTAGATAGAGAAAAAATGCTTTTAAACCAACTATCAAGTTAAAATTTTGCCTTCCTGCTTGTTCTCCTTTTCATTGACAGCAAAGAGAATCCTACCACTTTTTAAAGGTTGTGAATTTCGCCCTGGGAACAGTGAATGCACAGGTTTTAGGACATTTCTCAGGCCAGAGGAGTGTTTTGAAATCACCATACTCTGATGCTGTAACGCCAGGTGCTACAAGCATGCCAAATTAATCAAATGATTCCAGAAGCTTCTTATGGTCACACCTTAAGGACAGTCTGCCCAGCATCAGACAGCACAAGGCTTTGCAAGGTAGGGTGAAAAGGGGTAAGTGAGGCCTTAGGATGAATTTCAGCAGGTTATATAGACCAAATTCCTTTGTGTTATATGGAATACAGTACGTTCAGAGGAACTGCGTGTAATCAGTGCTTATTTACATCAGGAGAAGAAATACCAACACCTTTTACTCACTTGGCTCTCATTTAGCATCTGTGCTAATGAAGGAAGTGAGGCTATTTCTGCACAAGCAAGGCTCACAGTTCTGAGGGCTGCAGGATTGAGGTCCACATTACTCCTGCTTGGCAAGGTTTGATCATCCTACTGGATAAATCAATGGGGGGTTTGTCATCACTTGCTTACAAGTAGGATTAAAATCTACACAGATTACCACAAGAACCAATAAAATCATTCTTCTTTATCTGCTCTGTCTTTTCAGAAGTGTCAACGTCATCTCAGCTCTTGTGAGCAAATGTAGTGCATCTCAATAATTACCATTTTGACATCTTTTTGATTGTTCACACTTAATTTCACGTTGGAGGACTCATTAACCATCGGGGATGCTTTTAATGCTCTTTTTACAATCTGAAAAACAGAAATGTATGCAAGGGAGAAAATAAAGCTTTATGGCAGCATTTGTAGAAAGCCAGTTACAGACTGAAAAAGCAGGTCACCGCCATTGCTTTATATAGTGCTCTGAGATTAAAGTACAAATGTGTGCAATGTTCTCTCTGTGTTATGGATCTTGAGTGACATTAACATATTCCAAAGGGGGAGAGAGAGACAGTCCCCTGCAGTCTTTCCCTGTGCTGCCTACACAGAGAAACCTCTGCAGTAATTAATGTGTAAACAGCTGCATCACTGCCTCTTCAGGTTATCCTCTGACACACTTTGTCCTGCTGTAGGCTAACACATTTGCCAACCATTAATGGCTAAGTGCAAAAACCTTGGGTGATGCTGTACGACACCAATGTCATTGCGTGTGTGACTTACTACAGAATCATAGAACCTTTTGAGTTGGAACGGACCTAGCAGGACAAGGGGAAATGGTTTTAAGTTGAGGGAGGGCAGATTTAGGTTGGATGTCAGGGGGAAGTTCTTTACAGAGAGAGTGGTGAGGTGCTGGAACAGCTGTCCAGAGAGGTTGTGGATGCCCCGTCCCTGGAGGTGTTCAAAGCCAGATTGGATGGGGCCCTGGGCAGCCTGGTCTGGTATTAAATGGGGAGGTTGGAGCTTCGTGATCCTTGACGTCCCTTCCAACCCGGGCCATTCTGTGATTCTGTGAAAGGCCATCTAGTCCTACTCCCTGCCATGGGCAGCTCACAGACTCCTTCTTTCTTCCTAATGCGCATGAGTTGTCTTCAATGCTGGTGTCTTTTTCAGAAGGGATTCTGTTCATAGGACATGAACCAAATAGGGTAAAATCGAAACTCCTTCCCTACTCCTCCTTCCCTCTATAATCATGAGGCAAAGAAATTAGTTAACTTCCTTTGAAGCAGGATTGCTCCCGCTCTTATCACCAGAAGAGGCAACCACAGGAGCCACCTGCCTGCTCTGCCTTCTCAAATGTCCAAACCCCTCACATGTGCCTTTGAATGATGCCTGCGTGATAGCACTGCACACACACCAGAGGTGAACTTACCCACTGGAGTCAGTCAGCTGTCGTTTATCATGCCGAGAAGCAAGAAGCACATCCTGGGATATGGGAAATCTCAGGAAGCGATGCCAGATGATACCACCACCTGTCAGGTCCCCAAACTATAGCTTCCTATCCCTTACCACTGGGCATTTGTAGCCTGAAGATGAACATGCTGTGATGATACGAGATACCCGCAGCTGTGTGGGTGGTCATACTTGAGCTAGTTGTAGCTAGTTTTGTCTTGCCAGGCTTGTCCCATCCATCTGGTCTAGTACTATATATGGAGGTTGGCAGCCCTGCCTACAGCAGGGGGCTGGAGCTTGATGATCCTTGAGGTCCCTTCCAACCCAAGCCATTCTATGACCTTGGACGCAGCACGGGCACAGCCCCAAAGTCTTCTTGTGGGGCCAACTCAGAAGAACGAGGGGGAGTGAATAAAAGAATGGAGGATGTCCTGGGAGACGGGGAAGGTGGGTGTGAAATACTGATTTGGGGAACACACAGAGGGTCATGTGGTGACTGTCTGGTCCTCATGACCTTGAAATCCCATTTCATGTTTTAAGTCCAGTAGAAAGATATGCTGTCCTACCCCAAAGAGCTTGTAGTCCAAATGCAGAAAGCTGTGACAACACCACAAGTCTGGGTTGAATACTGAGCCAGAAGACTTAGTGGGAAAAAAATGAGGGGGTATTAAGGCTGAAGAGACCAAGGAGTTCGGTAGGAAACGAGGCAAAGGGATTTTGAAGGAGAATAAGAATAACAGCAAAACAAGGGCAGGAGCCCCTCAGTCCAGGCCAGGGGAAGCCCGGCGGGGCTGCAGGTGTGATGGCTTTAAAAGGACCGAGCTTTGAGAAACAACCTGTTTCAGTTCTCTTTTTCAGCAACAGCCACAAAATGGCTTTCAAAAAAGCAGCGTTTCTCTCGAAATATGAGAGTGAACTGATCTTGTATGTGCCATAATAAAGTCATCTGCCATTTGGTTTTAATGAAGTCCTTTTCATGATGGTTTTGGCTGGGCTGTGTTCCCAGCTGCTTGGAGGAACTTGTGAGAACTGTATTAAATCCATGGGGGGGAGGAGGGAAGCAGGGAGGGAGGGCACCACTTGAAGTTTAATTTTCACAAAAGAAAACACAGCAGACAGGCAGGATGCTTAAGAATAATACCGTAGCAGGTCAGTAATTAACGATGGCTCCCTCTAAGCTTTCAGGGCTTTACCAGCTGCCAATTTCAGGAACAATAAATACAAGCACTGCTTAGTGCTGCTCCACGGGCAGGAACACAAGTCTGCACCACAACCTGCACAGCATACACAGGCGACTGCTGTTTCTAGTGTTAGGTTGATTTCTCCCAGCTCCCCAAATATTTTTTGTTATTTCTTGTCTCCATCAGCATCAGTTCTTTTCTGGGATTTCAAAGACAAGGGCAATGCTTTCTCAGTACTATCTTCCCAAGCGGATGATTGGAGGTTCTCATATGCAAAAAGTGCATCCCTCCTTGCCACCCCAGCACTCCCAAGAGCTCTTCCATGTACTCACCATCCTGGAGGACCTCCGGCGTGGCTGTCCTGCTGCAGTCAGATGTTATGTCCAACCACGCACACAGGAGATGGTGCACACACTTACAGCAGCAGATTCATTTCAGGTTCTGCTTTCTTCCTCCTTCAGCTGCAGATCAGTTCCCCTTAACCTCCGAGTTTCATGGTGCATACCAACAGTTAAGAGTCCCAAATTGCCATCTAGATGTTGATACCCCGTTCTTAGATGCTTATCTCCACCTGCTTGATATAATTATACTCAAATAGGGGAAAACGGATACAAAAAGAAAGTAGTGGAGCAGATGCAAAGCCTGCTCGCCATCCTGCTCTCTCCTGAATTTACTGCTTTATACAGATTACCCACCAGCAGGACCACCCCACTATCAAAGCAGGGCTGGGTCGAGGTGAAGGCTGCTGCAATCTTTTTAGGCTCAAGTTAGCAGAAAGCTGAAGTCAGCATCGTGCTGGAGCCAGATTTTGTCTGCCCTCAGGGAAGTGGTAACTCCAGCGAGCAGCCATGCTAAGGGTCCAACCTGCTTCTGGAAAGTGCCCATGTTTCCCCTGCTGTCCTCTGCAGACGAGCCAGTGCTTACCGCTCTCTTCAGTTTTGGATCACAGAATCACAGAATATTCCAAGTTGGATGAGACCCACAAGGATCATCATCAAGTCCAAGCCTACAGCATCACCCAAATCCAACCCTATGTCTGAGAGTGGTGTCTCAACACATTCTGAGCTCCCTACAGCTTACAGCTGTAGCTGTGATTTAGGACAGAAGTGGGTTTGAGGAGCAGTATAAAATGGTTTATCTGAGAGGGGGAAAAAAGAAGACCAGCAAGGTTCTTGGCAAACAAGTGACTTGCTTCATATCTCCACTTCTGTTCCACAGACAAGGATCCTTCTGTCAATTGTCACCTTCCCACACACAAAGTAAATACATCTCTCACCTTACAGCCATGTACACTCTGGTTAGCAGACTCCCTCTAAAAACCACGCTTGGTCTCCAGTTTGTTAGAAACATGTATTAAAGAACACGGTGGAAGATCTTTAAACTCGTATGCGGGAGGTTTGCTATGAAGAAGCTGCCAGCTTAACGTACTCTCATCTCAGAGAGCTACTAATGGAGAGGAACACTGCAGAGATCACTACAAAATCACACCCTGGTTTGCACGAGAACAAAGCCGCTGGATCCGGGCACCAGCAGCCAAACAGAAGGATGGAAGCAGAACAGCCCGGGTCCTCATGCCTGAGAGGAAAAACGCTCTGCTTATGCTCTGTGCCAAAGGACTGTAAAATCAGCTGAATGAAAATGTCACTTCAGGTCAAGAGCGCTGAAATGGTTCAGCTGACGAGCCTACAGAAAATTCCAAAGTCTACAGAAAAACATGGCTTTTTGTTTGAAAATAGTTTTTAAAGATTTTCTCAATTTCAACTGTTTGAATAATTCAGTAAATATCATTAACCTCAGACAGTGAAACATTTAGCACTTCACATATCATAGAACCATTGAATCGTTGGAGTTGGAAGAGACCCTTAATGACCGTGTGGTTCAACTCCCCTGCCATGAACAGGGACACCCACAGCTCCATCAGGTGCTCACAGCCCTGTCCAACCTGACCTTGGTTGCCCCCAGGGATGGGGATCCATCACCTCTCTGGGCAAGCTGCTCCAGGTTCCATATCTGAAATAATTCTTTTCAATACAACGTTCAGGGCTCGTTAGCTGTATTTTGGTTGGAGGAAGTGCTGACTTCAATGTAAAAGATCGCCAACTAGTGTAGCTCTATGATTGCTCTTTCAGAGGGGGGTTTTCAGTCTCGGTCTCATCACTTTTCTTTCATTGCCCCTCCAGCTGCACCTAGGAAATATGACCTACAAATATTAGGAAAAACTTTAATATGATCTACCTTTGCTTTCCAAATATTACATTCCTCCCCTTTGTTTTGCAAAGCTCCCGGTGGCCTCACTAATTCACAGCAGTTGCACTTCCTGGGGGAAGACATGCTACAGCTCTTACAGCCCACCAGCAGGCAGAAGAAACCATTCCCTGCAAGACCCCACCGCCAGCTGCCACTGCTGATTTCAAAAGGCTACTTTGCATGGCATCTAAACTCAAGTACCTCTCAGCACTGCTGGGAAAGCCCGTGGAGAGGCAACAGTGTGTGCAACTCAGCCCTGTGCTTTAGTTTGCAAAGTGGGGTGGGTGAAGCTGCAGCCAGCTGAAGCTGTGCAGGAGGAAAGATTGTTCATGAAGTGCCAGGAAGGATGCGAAGGTCAGAGAGAACTCCAGGAAGAAAGGAGGACAGGGATGTAGCAGAGAAGAATTTCACAGATATAAACTCCAATACGTATAAATTGAAGGCACAAGAGTGGGTAAAGCCACCATTTTTTATCATTCGTACTGGGGCATGAACATACCTAGGCTGGGCTTAACCTTAAAAACACCACTGTTAATCATGGCAACACAATCAAATAGCACTAAATCCAAAATTAATGACATTAATGATCACTGAACCACGCTCAGCAGGAAGACCACCCTCAAGCCATGGGACACGCAGACTTTGCTCCTGTACCTCTGGGGGCAGAGGTGAGAGGAGCCCCACGTACCATAGGCCTCCATGTATCTGTGCCAGCCAGGTGCCAGCAGAAGGGACCCAGGTGCACCGTCAGCCCCCAGCTGCTCACAATCCTTTCCCTAACCTGTACTTACTGACACCAATATAAACAGGCAGTTGAAAGATTCTGTACCAACAAACACTCCCCTCCTGCAAATTAACCACACCAAAATGCAGAGTTGTAGTGTCACATGATAAAAGAATGATTTATTAGAGCAACTTTATGATAAAATTATATAAAATAACAATTTATTTTTTTTTTTCCTTAAAGACGTCCACAATATCACCTTGGAACAAAATGTACAGATACTGCCTATAATCCAAACAAAAATAAATTACCATTCAAAAAAAAAAAAAAAAAAAAAGCAAAAAAAAAACCAAAACGGGGTAGGATAAAGAAATCAAAATTGTACACAGCATTTCAAGAGGGTGTGGGAAAGAGAAAGTCATTAACCAGTTCAAGTTATACCGACGTGTTTCAGCTTTACTCTCAGACAGCTCAGCTTGCATTTGTGCTGCATGCAAATGGAATGATCCAGTGAACAGTTCAGAAGAGCAGAATCAGCAGCATAACGACAGCAGATAGTGAAATAGGCACGATTTAGCACGGGGCACATCGACGTGAACAGGTAGCTCTGGTCTTTGCAAGAGTTATACACATTTACCCAGCTTCAAAAATAGCTACTGTGATCCGCAACACAACAAAAACTAGTAGAATCTTGCACTTATTTACATTTTTTTCACCCTTTTTTTTTTTTTCTTTTTTTCCTTCCCAGTAGTCTGGATGTAAACATTCCACTAGTTTTACCCTTACTAAAATACTTGAAGATGATGCAGACTTCTTTCCTCCTGGAGCACAACCACAGCAGGACATGGCTGTAGTTAAGGTCCTCCCTAGCAAAGCTCCCACACATTCTTGCAGAAATTTACATTCATTCCATCAGAACAAAAGAACAGGTTTTTACATTTGAAAGCATTGAACTGAGAACATGGTTTTCAAGTATAGCAGAACGCAGGAATGGGATTTTGAAAGGTGCTCCTGACATCAGGCACCCAAATTCCCTTGGGAGCCCAAAAGGGTCTGAGCACTTGCTTCCCTGCGGCTTTGAAAGATCCCACCCTTTGTTACATTTCTTTAGTCAAATACAAAACACACGAAAGCAAAATAGTACAAGAACTGCCCGTGGCGTCAGGGTCGCTCCAAACTCCGCACACAGCCTGCCAAAGCCATCAGGTTTCCTACACACTGAGCCTGGGCAGCAGGATACACCTGGAGAGTAGCACTGCAGTCACACACCGGCGTGTTTTCATGGCCATGCACACTGTAAGAACGACCAAAGGATGAAGGAGCTGTGGTTGTGTGGCTCTCTCTTTGGCTTATCGGAGCAGACAAGTGCAAATGGAGTGTATGTATTTCAGAAGCAGCGAACACAAGGAAAGACAAGTTGCATTTCATCACCAACAAGAGTGTTGTGAATGCAAAGATCCAAGCATGAACGCCGTGTCAGCACACAAGCATTGTGTATTCTGGCTGAGTCACAAATAAGTCAAGCTGTGCATCTCCCCCCAGCCCTACACAGACACATCCAAATTGCAAGCAGACATGGACTGCTGCATCCCGTATTTGAAGAGGTCCCATGTTTGGTGGGTTGATGTCAGGTGGCTGCAGGCTCTCTCTCAAATTCAGAGCAAAGCAATCAAGGATGAAAATCCATTCCTGATGTGTTTACCAAAGAAGTAAGAATCAAGTAATTTTCAAGTGAAAGTAAACAGAAGTTACATCAAGGACGTGTTGCAGAGAAACAAAAACCACCAGAGCACAGCCAGGAAGATGCAGAAACATAGTGAACAATAAAATTCAGATGTCTGAGTAATTCATGTGTTTCTATAGCAAAACTGAAACTAACAGCAACACCTTATCTGTGAAGGTCCTTCAACTCCTAATGAGTTGGGGTAGCACCTGGACATACTAAGCCCTAACAAAGAAGGGCCTGAACACACGTGTCATATGTCAGGAACAACACCACCACGTAGGATATTCATCACAGACACAGTCAGGCATCTCAAGGAAAGACAGATCAGAATAAACAACCAAATGAACACATTCAGTATACTACAGGCAGAAGAAGGTACAGTGCGTAAATTACAGGCAGAAGAACATGAAGGGCATTTTTTTTTTCTCTTTTCTTTTATTCTGCTTTCATTTATGTGAAATTCAGCAGATTTCTTCATGGAAGAGCATTTCCACACAAGCAGATGAGCCTTGTAAGGTGCTGGAGATCTTGGAAAGGTATCTGAACTTATTGTTTGACAGCCAGCATCTTGCAGAGACAAGAGAAGCTAATGGCCTGCTGGCATCCTCCCATCACAGGACTGATTCTGTTTCTGCTGAAATTGACTTAAATTTCCCAATGGCTTCACCAGGAAAGCCCTCATGCTCTTTGCTAGTAAGATTAAACTCTTTGTGAGCATCCCTACTTATTGAA